GGTATCAGCCCCCCCGCCCCCAGAAAAGAAAATTCTTCCTCCGCCAATGCCCAGGTTTCATACTGAACAGGATATTATGTGAGGACTCGTTTCTTTATTCATGATTCTTTTTGCTGCCGTTTATCTACGTTTGAATCGTTTTGCCTTCTTCGAACTAATGTTGTGACCCTTCACACAAACTAAAGAACAGAAAGCTATTTCAAGGAATGTTTCTCCTGGCGTGAAGACGTCAGCCTAGGAGGAAGGCACTCAGGACTTATTATCCAACAGCATTCAACCGCCTTTCTTTTAACTGCGTTTATTTAAGCTGGAGGTGATAAACGAGAAAAGAGTTAATGCTCGTGGAGACCAAAGTTCATTCCGCCTGCTTGCCTGACTGTTGCAGGCCTCCCTCCTCCCCTCAGCCTGGACTTCTTTAGCAGAGGTCAACACCCTGAAGTTACAATATGGGAATGTGGAATTTCGCACTGACTCGAGGTTTATTATTGGCTGCATTAAGGCATCCCATTCGCTCTTGTCGGATTATCTTTGAACAGCATATTGTGTATGGTTTATGTGTGAGGTAGACTGATACTTACAGAAGTCCATGAGCGACTGGCACTGCCAGTTGTCTTTTAAGCCGCGGCACTGCTTCCACATACTGGCGTAGTGAGACTTGGCGTCCTCGTCCTCTACCCATCCCGATTGTGCGCAGATGGCGATAAGGTCAAAAATAATGGCGAAGAGCAGAAGCAGGGGAATGATCCACCTGCATCGAGGGTAGGCGATCCCACAGCGAAACATGACCGACGATCAGCGAGCGTTGAGCGGTGTACACGGAGAGGAAAGGCGAGCAAAGGAGCCGAAATCTGTCCGCTCAATGTCTTATGCGTCTTTGCGCAGTGACAGTGGGTGATGTGAGGATATAATATAAAAAGCTCCAGCCCCACCCAAGAGTGAAACGTACCCGTCAGCCAGGTTAGGATCGTGAAGGGCTGGGCTTATTTGGATACAATAGCAAAGTATAGCCCAGCCCCACTCAGTGTGTCATATTACACACCCAACAACCGGCCTGTGACCGTTACTGTCTAAGCTCGAGTCCTGATCACAGAAAGGATTGCGTTTAACAGAAGATAGTTGAGCTGAATGCTGCAGAGATGTACTTTTCTTTTTCGGAATTCCAACAGGTAGTAATGGGTGATGTGCTGTGAGGTGGAAAATATAAAGAGAGAGTACAAAATAAATGTAATAAATGTAAAATGCCACAAGATGGCAGCCCAGCTAACCTTAATATTTTCTTTAAAGGTAAGGAGGTAAAAAACAACAACAACACACAGCGTTTGGCTGTATTTATTCTGTATGCCTTTATGATTTTTACATGGAACTGTCTATCTAATCAAAAATTAAATGTATGATTCTGTAACTTATTGAATCATCTTTAACGGCAATAACTGTATATGGAGGGATTTTGGTCCACTCAGGTCCCTGTTTGAGCCATGCTTTAATTGTGAGACAGATGATCTCATATTTGACTCTAGAGTACTTTGGTATAAAGTGAAGTTCATGGTCAACTTGACTGCAAAGTGCCCAGATCCTTTGGCTGTAAAACAAGTCCAAATCATCACCCTTTCATCATCATGATACAAATAAGGGTTTTTTTATGGGGCTTTGCTGTGTTTATGGGGTTTTAGGAAAACCTAAGCTGTGCTGCCAAGCTCATTTTAGATAGAAGAGGCTTTTCTCCTGGCAGCCCTTCCAAACAAAATTGTATAGCTGCTACTTACATCCTTAATTCTTATGGAAGCAGTGAGGGTGTATGTAGTTTTTCCAAAGGATTGCACAGAGTCCTGTGAAACCTTTATTCTTCAGATGAATGTAGGTATCTCTTAATAAAGAAGTAAATTAAAAAACATACTGTGATTGTAGATTACTATAATAAACTGTTAGACAACACTCAGTTGTCACCTTTGGAGAGCACATTGGACTTTTTTTGGTCCAACACCTAATTACAGTTTGCTTGTTTGCTTTAGCACATTTCTCACAAGTTCTCAGTTCTGAAGATTTCTTTTGCAAATTAGAGCATGCTTATGTATTCAGAAACCCCCCCACTTCTGCAAAAGCTGTAGCTCACTGGAAATACTTAATTCATGTGTCAAAATGTTTTTTGTTTTTTGTATTGATCAAAGAGTAATGACTACCAGAAATAGATAAATTAATATTTAGTCACAATTACAGTAGCAATGTGTTCCTCATCTTCTAATTTTCTGTTAGTTTTGTGACATTGAATCTCTGGCATACCAGTTATTTTCTCATGGTAACTCTGTGCTATTATGTATCAACATTAACAGTTTTTAGAAATTAATTTCAAGGCCAGTGGTTTTATTTATTTATTTATTTGTAAAGAAAAAAAGACCTTTTATTTCCTAAACACAATACAGTAAACTACAGGAGCGTGGAAAAAACACCAGGACTGCGCAGAATGAGACATGCAGACTATCAGTACCAAAATGTGCAGAACCTGATGCTCTCCCTGGCGGCATAATGGAGGAAGAACTAGTATTAAATCCAAATCCATCCTCTGCAGTGTTCTGCATCGTCTTATGTTTTGTTCTACATGCTGCAAACACTCCCACTCCTCCTTCTCTTCAGCAGGAAGACTGCAGCTTCCATAAAGTATACATAAGAGATTACTTACACCAACAATTAAAAAACACCAACGCTTCCTTGGGGTTGACAGTGCATAAGAGAGGTGAAGAAGAGAGTCTAGGTGGAGTGGGTGGAGATGAGTGTCAGGGGTTCTTTCTAACAAAAGGATAGCAGTACGAGTCCGACCTGTTATGATATGTGGTGTAGAGACGGTGGCGCTAAGAAGAACACGTGGAGGACAAATTGAAAGTGGCAGGGTTGAAGATGCTGAGATTTTAACTGGGAGTGACCAGGATGGAGAGGTTAGATATGAGTACATCAGTGGGAAAGCTCAGGATGGAGACAAAGTCAGAGAGGCAAGGCTGAGATGGTTTGGACATGTGTAGAGGAGGGACAGTGGTATGCATATGGTGCTGCCAGGCAGGAGGAAAAGAGGAAGACCACAGAGGAGGTTCATTGATATTGTGAAGGAGGACATGATGGAGGTTGGTGTGACAGAGGAGGATGCTAGGGTTAGGGTGAGATGGAGACAGTCCCCTAAAAGAAGTGGCTGGTAGAAGAAGCCAAAATCTTCATTTATTTATTTATTAATATTATTATTATTATTTGAAATAAAACTTGTCAGCTGATAGAAAAAATACACGTTTTCACAAAAAGTTATATGCAACCAATATTTGTTTTTAGTCATGGTCCTGGCAGGCCAAGGCTGTTTTTCTTCTTCTCTCTTTTTCTCTCTCTCACTTCTGCCTCCCCCTTCTCAGGTGGAATTGCCCACCCTGAGGTGACTCCAGTTTGAGTGTCCACACTCTGCAAGATCATTGGCTCCTTGGTATTGCATGGTGTTAAGATTGCTGGAAAGATTTTGGTGCATTCCTCCAAACTCAGCTTACCTGCACTTTCAAGTGGGACGTTACCTGTCAAGAGAAATATGCTTACAAGTTAATTTCCTGCCCGCTTTCCACCACTCTCTTCTGTTCCCTCTCTTGATTTTTTCAGCCTACTTGTTTGGCCAGTGCAACCTGCTAAGAAGAAACACAGAAGTAAACAATTTGAAACTGTATCTGCGATCCTCACCTTAGTCAGCTCTTACGTGTCCTCTTCTCTTTGAGAGAAATCCCCATTTCCCTGTAAAGAGTTCACTTCCCTGTGTACTCACCTGTTTCAAAACTCTTCAGAATTCTGTAAACTTTAAAGCTGCTGTGCTTTCTCTTGAGTCCGGTGTCACTTTGATTATGATGAAAACATTATCAAATGATAACAAAGAACAAGAAATGCTCTAGCTAATGTGCACAGATAGCAACTCTTACGGAGGTTTTCCACAGTTATCTTTGTCTCTCTGTCAGCCCTTTGAATACCTGCATGTTTATCCAAATAACAGGCAAAGTCAAACTGGTGACTGATATTACACAGCCATGTTCAGTTTCTTTCACTGTAATCTTCATGCTCATGAAATGAAGACTTAGCTCAGAAGGCGACGCGCATATTCAGAAAACTTTTATGCCACAATGGGCAATTCAGTTTGACAGTCCACCATCATAATAACCATATAAAATTTGGAATAAATAAACAAACTACACGTAGGTACAGTTTTAAAGTCTCTGGGTAGAACCCAAACATAGATTGAAGATGGAATAAGAAAAACTACTCAACATTCAGCAGCTTATTAGAAGACGATATGAAAGATTTTGAGTAGCAGTTTGTTTTTCCCGCAGGTGCAGGACAGCACCAACCTGAGGGCAACAACATAACTTCTCTTAAGAGAACATGCTTTGGTTGACAAATAATGCTTTTTGCCTTCTGAACAGATGTTTCTTCCAAATCGAGTTCACTTGCTGTTAAACTAACTCTATTTTACTCAGGGTATGCAAACACTACACCTCAACACACAGCTTTGAGATGCAAAACTTTTATTTTGGATTTTTTGGATTATTGTGGCAGTCTGTGGCTGCTCTATTAAAAACAAACAAACTCCAGTAACAGTTTGACAGCAGCCACAGTGATTTGACAGAGAGCTCTAAGCTCAAATAAAACTGACTATGATTATACAACATGTCAAAATCTGCCCACAGATGGCATCAAAGTGTTAATACACTAATTGTCCACAAAGGGGAGACAGCAGACAGGTTGCAGAATTGAGTTACTGTAAAAAATGATCAGCTTTACACAAAATAAATATGCTTTTAAGATTTTTTTCCTTAAAGTGATTCAGCTTTTACTTTAAGGTGAGGCTGTGCAGAAGTCAAGTGACTGCTGAACCTTATAATTTATACTTTGTATCAGAATTAAGATGAAATGCATGCTCAGAGGTTTGAATTTATATCTGTGAAGTGAAACAGGTCAATCCACGAATTCTGCTGTAAATGATCAGTTTAATTCTGAAACAAATGCTTGTTCAGTAAAGTAACGGGAGGCAGAGCTACATCATTTAATGATGTTTATTAAAAAAAAACCAGAATTACAGAAAAAATAAGACCTTGACAGGATAACTTGCTATTTCTTGCAGAAATCTGGGAAAATAATGCAGTCAAAATAGCATCACCAAACCAATACGAATAATTTGAAAACAAAAATTGCTGGCATCTTAAAGCCTGAGGTGAAGTTTAAAGGTCTTAAAAACAACGCAAACAGAGCTCCTTACCTGAGTAAAGTTTAACGGTGTGTTTGGTCTCTTTAACAATATTGCACGAACGATAAGATAATTCACCCACTTCAGGGATTATTTTACATTTCTCATACTTGTTAAAAAAGAAGGGGGGCGTGAATTACTTTTTAAGCATCACCATCCAAGAGGTACAACTAACCATCAATCAAGGTGTGGAATAATTATCCACGCTGCTAAAGTTCTTTTCTTTAACAGCCAGCTGCTGGATCAGGGTTTGTTTTAGTCAGCCGGAACGTCCTGTCTGCGTTAAGACAGGAAAAATGCTGTCGAGTTTTTTGTCAACACCTCCTAGCCTCTGAGCCATTGCTCTCATCTTTTTTTCTCTTCCTGTTCTTGGTGACCTCATGTCCTCTCAGATTAAGCACAAAAGTCTTACCTGAAAGTCTGGGACTTCAGTTATTTTATGCTGCACTGACAAGCAGAGGCACTGGAGCTACTTTAAGGCATTGTGGAGTGTTGACAGGCTTAGTGTTGTAGATTTTCACTATTTTCTTATATGGAGATATTTATTATTGTGACCGCCACACCTTTTTCCTGTTCTGCTCTGTTTCCTTGTTTTGCTGTGTCCCTGGTATGCTGTTGGTCACGTAAGTCATTCATTCAAACAAACAAACAAACAAACAAACCAGTTTATACCGTGCATAATTGAAACTAACATTTAGATCATGTATTCATAACCGGATATAAGTACTACATGAATGAGTTGACAGAGATTTTCATAGGCTGAACTGGATGCTAAGCAGTTAAGTCACATGTGGACTCTGAACTTAGCTGTTCAGCATATCCGAGTTTTCTGAATTCTGTATTGCACACAGTAGAAGTGTGTGAAGAAAGCAGAGAGCATTCAATTCTTTTTATTTTCCTGCTCCAGGTGTAGTTTTCTTTTTAACTGAAAAATCTTTAAAAAATTTGGTGTAAAATCCTCCCAGACCTCCGTTTACACTTGTTGTTTATGCATCAAAGTCATGGGATGGCGGTGCCCCCGGCATTATTGTCACTGGAGGTTCTGAAGTCCTGACATATAACAACAAACCTGTACAAGTTCAGTGCAACCACTAGGAAGTTCTTAATGGCAAAAAAGACAAGCATCTGGTGGAAGACTTTGAAGCAGGCCATCACAGTGAGCCTGACACACAGAAAAGGGCCGTCCTGGATGAACAGCGCCTGAATGATGTTCCATATGTCAGTGCTGTGCTTAGTCAAGAGAGACTCCTGTGCACCCTGATCAGCCTCTCTGCCAGGTGTGGAGTTCACCACTATGTCAGATAAGGAGACAAAAAGCAACAGATTGGGAGTGAAATGAAGGTTTCATTCAGGTAGCTTGATGTAGTCTGACAGACGCCACACTTGCTTTTTAGAGCAACTTTCCCTGCTATTGTTTTTCAAGAGGTAAATCTTTCTTCTCTAAAGAAATGCTGGAATAGTCACACATAAAGGATACCTATTATGCTTTTCCCTTGGACTTACATCTTCCCACCCATAAGAAAGTTAGCCAATTAGAAGAAAGCTGGATAAAGGGGAGGGAGAAACAGTTAGAACAGCTTACTTCTTTAAGTAGATCAGTAGATAAGAGGAGGGGCATCACTAAGACCTACAGTTAAAGCATCATTTTTAGCCTTTAAATGGCTAAAAACAAAAACAAAGGCTATCCATTTATTGTTTAGCTGTTTAAACCTCAAAAAAGTCTAACCTATCATAGAAGTGAAAACTCTTCACATATGCACAGGACTCCTATGTTACCCAGTTAATGTGTTTGTTGGAGTGTAATGGTTTACATAGTCACATAGAAAGCTGAGGGTTCCTGATTTGAGGACAGTAGGACACACAAATTCCCTGGGAGTTCTGTCAGGAGGGGTAGCTGGTATAAAAATCTATCAGATCAAATATGTAGAGCTAGCCAAATATTTGAATGTCAAGTCAAACTATAAACAGTCTTTGGTGGTTTTCCTGTGTTATAGGGGGATGGGGAAACCATGCTAGTGTAATTGGAAAGTCAAGCTTTTAAACCCTTTAATCTTTAATATATCCAGTGGTTGTTGTCTAATTTCTTTGAAGAGGGTTGATGAGGTTCACGCCTTTAACCATCAAACATTTTTCAAGATCCTTAACCTTTCAAAAATGTATTATAATGCTTGACCATATACCCTATCTTAAAGATTGTAAGATGTGTCAGAAACTCCAGAATAGCTTCTAAATTGATCTTTTTTTTCTCAGTGGCTGTTTCCAAAGTCAACTCTGCATTATATGAATATGTTGCATTTGTCTATCAATTCTTTGTGTGTTTAAAAGAGATCCAGACAAAGTGAACATGGCTCTCTGTGTGCAAACACAGAGTACTAAGTGCTCTAAATGCACTGCGATGGTAAAGATGCATATAACTGCATCATTAGGGTTACTTATAAATTATGAGATGGGGTTATAGAGAATTGAGATCATTATTAGGGTTTGGCAATTTCAAGAACACAGCGGCCTAATAAGAGATTCCTCTTCTCAGGTAAAATGAGAACTTGAAGCTTTGTCAATTTATCTCTAATTATTTGCACAAATTCCCAGTTCTGACTACTTCATGTAGCAGGTTTTTTAAGTATAGGTCTGAAGGAAGCACCATTTCCATGTCGGTGGCAATGCCCTTTGGTTTTGATACTCGGGAAGTGATGGCACTAGGGAGAACTTATCTACATCACCGTTTACTCCCTTGCAGTTGATGGGATGTTTGGCAAAATTATAAACATGTTGAATTACTAGGGAATTAGTGTCTTTATGGTGTAGGCCCTTAATAAGCACTAAAGTTACATTTTGATACACTAACACGCACTGACCTGCTAGATGGAGTGGAAATTGCAACATACTCCAGGTCCATACACCTAAGATGACATAGACCAGCATATCATTGTTATCTCTGTAAAAAACAAAACAAAAAAACACGGTGAAGAAAGAGTTTCACTGCTTATTTCAGTTATTGCATTGACATATTATCAACACATGTACATGGCTCTGTGTGAAATTAAAATAAATGCCCATGGAGATGGAACATGATTAGTCACCCACTTGATATCTGATAGTGTCTCACTAGTAAATTCCAGGATGTCCGCTGCTGTGCCAACAAAGATTAGAAGAAGTTGAGACAACTCATCTCTTGTGACCCCGCCTCCCAAGGGCAGGAGCCACTTCCCCACAATGAGCAGGATGAGCAGGATCTGATGGAGAGCCAGGATCCAGTCATTCGCACAAACAGCAGAGAAAAAATTGCCAATATCCTGGAAAAAGAAAAGACATTAACAGATATTTAAAGTTGGTTTAAACTCACTTGTATACCTGTAAGAATGCAGAAATTAGCCCTATTAGAACAGATGTCAACATGAACCTTCGAAGAGAGAGTTCATGACAGAGGAGGATAGAGGTGGGGTGGGAATCCTATCCTTTATGACCAAAGAAAATTGGTCAAAAGACAATTCTGATGGACTGACCGAGTTATAAGTATCGGGTTTCACCCAACACCCACTCTTACCTTGATAATAACTAGCATCAGAACTGTCTTTTCTGCAACTGTCAGTAAAAACTGACCTCGGTTCAATTAAATTGGTGTTCCTAATAAAGTGCTCAGTGACTGTAAGAGTAACTGACACAGTTGCAAACCACACTAAAACAGAATTTAATACATCACTTACCACAAGACGTGACTAAATTATCTTTTACGTGTTAATATTAGATTTGGATGACAGTGGTAGTTTAGTGTCAGGGGAACACACCACATTATACTTTGTCAACACAGCCAAACTTGGCATTCACATGATATCATTGTATGTTATCATATTTCAATGGGATTTGTTGACAGTAAGAAAATGAAGAACATTGCCAGAATTAACCTTCAGTGATTTTATCATCCCACACAACATTGTACATTGTTTTTATAAGTGACACGCTGCAACTAACTGCAGCCATTTTTAAAAAACGTGTTTTTTCTTTCATCTCCTGGGAGAAATGGGTGTGGTGGTTGTGGTCTAGTAATTGTTTATATAGTCTGGTTTAAATCACTCCTCTTACTGTTATTGGTCACTGTAGTATTGGGGCTCATGTGTTTCCAATCAGTGTAGAAAATTTAGTCTGTTTCATTTGTAATGTTTTACAACTGCAGTTTTATTCAGTGTTCTTAATTGCTGTGGCTGTAAAAGCAACTGGAGATTATTCTGATTGTTATGTAGATGCAGGCTACTTTTGCAAGTTTTAAAAGTCATACAATATAAAATAGTCTTTGCAGCTACATTGTGGCCTCACTGTTTGACAGGTGTCCTGAAATGTAGTGTTTGTATGCTAACTACGTAAAACAGAGTTATTTTTTCCACTAAGTCTTCGTTTCAGCTGTATGACGTTTACTCCATCTCACCCTGTCACACCAACCCTCTCCATGTCCTCCTTCACTACACACATGAATCTTCTCTATGATCTTCCGCTTTCCTCCTGCCTTAGCATCCTCTGCACATGAACAAACCGCCTCAGCTTCTCAACTTTGTCTTCAAACCCAACGTACCCAATGAAAATCTGCAAATATTCAACGTCCCGCCTCTCGTCTTTCTCTCCAAACCAGACATAATAGCATGTCTCACCATCATCTTGCAAACCTTGCCTTTCACTCCTGCTGCTGTTCTTCTATCACAAATCACTCTGAGACTGCCTGCACTCTCTTCTTCACCACTCTTGTGCACTGTCTGTTACTTTGGATGGGTAACCACAGGTATTTAAACTCAGGCATCCTCTCACGCTCCAAAATTGTGTTAAACAATCTGATCAAAAAACCCATTGCTGTTTCTCCTGGACATCTTCATACCCCCACAGGTAATCTCGGCCAGCAGCCCCGCTTCATCGTCTTCACAGTTCCCCTCTGCCTGTTCTCCATTTGTCCTCCCCTCATTCTCTTTTAATTAATCTGTGAGTTCCTCAGAGTACTTCTCCCATCTTCTCAACACACTCTCCTCATTACTTATTTCCATTTGTAAGAAAACCATCAACGTGAAAAGCTTTCAAAACAGTTTGACTGCACAGGAAGTTTCAATCCTCTTATTTTAATGACCTCCTGAATTAAATATTGCTTCCATTATCGAAGGTTTATTCTTACATCATCTGACGCAAAGCACACCCATTTAGAAATGACTGAAATGCTACTCTTGACAGTCATTTTGATAGTGATGGACCCAGCCAACTGATAGACTGAGTGTTTGGTATTGACTTATAAATGCTCTTCATATTACGGATGAACTGTGGGACTCTATCCTTGGCCAGGTTCACAATATATCAATGTGTGCTCGACATACACTTATCCAATTTAAGATAGTTCATCGGGGGCATTGGTCCAGGGGTGGACCCAGCCTGTATAAGGTGTGGGGGTGCTCCTGGTACATTGTTTCATATGTACTGGTCCTGCCCTTCTTTGTCCACCTTTTGGAAATCTGTTTTCCATACCATGTCTGAAGTCTTGCAGCATCAAATTGAACCAGAGCCACTCTGTGCTATGTTTGGTGCAGTCCAGAATCTGAATCTGTCCAACTCCAGACTCAGAACATTAAACTTTTCATTATTGTTGGCCAGGCGAGCTATACTGCTGAAGTGGAAAGACTCTTCTCCCCCCTCACACACACAATGGCTAAAAGATATAATGTCTTGTATGGATTTAGAAAAAAATTAGATACAGTTTGTGGGTCTAAAAATAAATTTTATAAACTGTGGTCCCCCTTTCTGGACTTCTTTGAAAGGCCCACAACTACTGTTACTGAGTAGTCCAAGGACCCCCCCCCCCTCTTTTTTTTCTTTTCTTTTATGAGTCTTTGTTGTTTTTTGCTTTTGTTTGTTTTTTTCTGTTTTTTGTTTGTTTGTTTGTTTTTTGGTTTGTTTTTTTGTTTAGTTGGGCAGCAGGCTGCCAATTATTTGTTGTTTTATGGGTTAAGGGATTGAAATTTTTGAATATTCTGAAGCATTTTGTGTTATTGTATACATTGTATTGGAACCTTTGTCTAATAAAAAGACTTTTGAAAGTAAGACTTATAAATGCTCTTATTGCTTATACTTATTTGACTGTGACCTGTGAACAGTGAGGTTCCTGAGAGGTTGATTGTTGGATCCTTTATCCTTCAACTTATTGTTTACCTGAAGGATTTGTACTGTATGCTGGTGATATTCATCTCAAATCTCATCTATTCCTTTCTTGTTGAATTACTCAAAGCGTTCTTATAATAAAACACAATTGAAGATTGTTCTTTTTCTTTGATCACGTCTCTCAGCTATTCATAACTTCTCTAGTTATCAAATACTCTCCATCCTCAGATAAAATTTAATGCAGTGCTGCAGAAGCATAAGTAAAGCAAACCATGTGACTGAAATTCTGCTGTGAACGTGAAAACCTGAGTTCCTTTGAACCAAAATGTCATAATATTGGAGAATTTAACACTAAGAAAAAACAGTTGAAACTGTCGAAACAACAAATAAAATGATCATCACTGACTGCAAGCCTTCAGAACTTCTGTTTTTCCTATTAGTGGTTACTTTCTATGTTGTTCAGTCTCTAATGCCAAAACTAGACTGCCAGTCTTGTGATGTTGAAATCTTTCTAAACATATCGGAATCAGTCTGTACGAAGCTTTCCAGTTAAGTCTCTTCAGGGATCCCTTATTACACAGTCAGATTTCAGTTCCTGATAACCACGTCTCGTATTCTTTGCCCTTGAAGAGCCTGGCAGCACTGTCCACAACTAAATTGAGAAAAGACATGGACGCTGGTATTTCAATATACAGTTAATACAATTTAATAGAAGTTAATAGAAAGAGAATATGCTTTACATATATATTTATATATATTTTCCTAACCCTGTGTGTGCATATAAATAATTAATAATAATTTATATGCACATACGCATATAATAATAATTATTTAAACAATAATTACTGGGGGAAAGGTTAAAGTTTGTGCATTGCAGACAGTGTGTCTGATGACGAGGTTATTCTGGGATATACATTGTGAACTTAAAGTTTCAGTATTACATTAAATCCACACTTCTGTGTAAAGAGTTTCCAAGAACTATTTCATTAAATCACCCTGAATCTCGAATTTTAAAAGAGACTTGACAGATTTTTTTTATATTATATGGTTTGCTAAACATTTTTGTGTTTTTCTTTTTGGCTTTATCAAAGAGAAACAGCCAGCAGGCAGTTACAGTAGCTTATCATCAAGAAGCAAGCTCTGTATGAGGTAAAACTTCAGCCTCACGAGCAAACACCTGAAGCCCAAGCTGTGGTTTTTTATGGTGAGCATTTGACTGTTTCCTGGCTGGGAGCAGTGACTTTCTCATGAATGATTATGTGGCAGCTTTAAAGTGCTGACATGGCAGGCATACAGCTGTGAGCAGTAAAAGGGAACAATACAAAACAGATAGAACCAGTGGAAGTAAACACCAAGAGACTTGTCTAAGCAACTTTCCTGAGAATTTTGTCTGCCTTTAGTCAGTTCATTTGGAAACGCTCTGTTAGTTTCACGACACTATTCAACATGATATATTTGACTATGAGTGCCAAATGGTATAAAATCAGTTTTCTTCTTTTTTTCTTCTTCTTTCCATCACTCTTACCTTCAGGGAATCCGTGATCGTGAGGTTTCTGGAGGTCTTGTTTTGAATGAGGTTGTACAGATCCAAAGAATCAAGCTTTTGACACTGAAAGAGATGAAAGAAGATTTTACGGACTTAATTTCACAGGCTACTTATTATTCTCTTGTAGGTAAGCCTGTATAAACCGTAAACGTATATGAATGTATAATGAACTGTAGCTTTACAGAGCTGGAAGCCTGCAAACTTCCCACTCACCAACATCTGTTGTTAAATTACATGTTTGAGAAACAGGAGATTATTTTAAGCAAGTTATATAATTGATCTTTCTGGCATGGAGTACCTGAGGTTCGCTGTTCTTATTCTGCTGGTGGTGGAGCTCCAGGAGCCACATGGAGGGAATGATACTAATGAGAAACAGAAAGATGGGTGGGGAAAACCTGCAAGATGACCAGAATCATTTAGACTTTTTATTTATTTATTCATAATTAATAAAAAAGGAAAAAAAAACATATACAGAACTGATACCCCTTAAAGATAAATAAGATTACAACAGATACTTTTCATTTTGTTCTTTTGGAGATTTGGCAGTTTGAAATAATTATTAGTTACTGCCACAATATTGAGTATTTTATTATCACTTTGCTTCTAGTTTACTTCCTCAAAATACTACCACGCAACATGATTTTTAAAACAACAGATGTTCTGAGGCATCCATTAATCTCCTCAGTGATTGGTGGATGCTTCATTAAATGTACAGTCTTACACAATATAGCACTTCAATAAGTTGTTGAATGAAATGCAATATCACGCCAGAAAAATAGAACAACACAATGTATTTCAAGCATGCAGGAAGACAGGGGAGACTGCGATCTGCGATATGAGTTAAGGGGTACCACCCCAACTTAATGTCTTAGGACAGCTTAACAATAGCAGCAGAGGGACAGGCAGGATATAGGATGCTCGGGGGAGATGGGGGAAGGGATAAAGTTTTTGGGGGAAATGGTAAGCGCTTAGTTTTAGTCATATACTGTACATCTGTACATGCCACGTAGCTGTGCAAACTCCAGTCGTTAAGTAACATAATGCATACTGAAGGATAATATAATTACAGCCTTACAGCACATTTCCACACTCTTACATTCATGATCCACATCTCACCATTTGTAATCCTTTCCTTTCCTCCTCCTCAGGGTTATTATCATTTCCAGGACAAGCGGCAAAAAGAGGAAAGTTAGCAACCAGTAAAAGTCATGTTCCTTCACCCGAGTCACTCTCCACACACCGATGAGAGCAATCAAGATAAAAAGCGCTCTAGTAATGATCGCACTTATAAATTTAATCAGACCCATGTCGCCGGTTGCCTGCAATTTGGCACTGGACGCCGCAGCGGTCCCGTTATTCCTAACTGCACGGATACAAACGAAACTGTGACTCCAGCAGTGAAGTGGGGGAAAAATCGTTTTTCGCCAAAGTCACAAAAGTTTAAGCTCCGCCTTATAGAGTCAAGGTCCATTCACCGGCAACCTTCCGATTACAAGACGAACTGCCAACTCTTTGAGCCACGATCGAGAGTTTTAGCAACTATTTTATACTTATTAACTGTTTTTATACCCTTCAGTTAATGTATGAAAGGTCCACTGTATATATACAGGAACAAATTACCCATGTCCAAATGCAGATACAGTTTATTTACAGAATTGTGCAAGTTTGTTCTACACACAGTAATAGTATCTTTACAATTACACAACTTCTGCATTGCATAAACATTTGCTCTCAATCTTAAATATACAGGAAGATATTTTTGTCTTCATTCATTCATCTCCAAGTTGTCCCGAGCTACAGAGTGCACATACTGCAATATTCAGCACCATGAAATCTGTCTGTCCCTTACTGGGATACCATCTTTTTTTTATAAAGAGGTGATTGTTAAGTGGCAAATACCCTATGCTTGTATTTAGGTTGAGCACTTGAGTAAATGTAACTTCAGTAACTGCATTTTAATAGGATTATATTTGGATGAATCTTAGTTTGTAATTTTATAAAACTTGCATTTCTAGTAGTACTCAACTTGGGGTGTAAAATGCAGGTAAAGGTGGACTGAAGTATTTTCATGTTCACATACAGTTATGTAAAAAAGATCACAGGAGTCCCATGAGAAGCAAAGTACACCCTCTGATTTGGTAGCTTGTAGAACCATGTTATTGTAGCAATAACTGGAAACAATCTTCTTTACAACTTTATCAGTCTCTCACATCATTGTGGAGGAGTTTTGACTCACTCTTTTTTACAAGTCTGTGGTTATTCATTTATGCATAGCTCTCTTAAGGTCCTTCCACAGCATTTCAGTTAAGCTGAGGTCTGGCCTGGGTCATCAGAACACCTTAATTCTTTTCTTTTTGAGCCATTCTGCTGTAGATTTCCTGTTGTGTGTGGGACGTCCAAGCCTAAGCTGTCGAACAGATGGTCTCACATTTGACTCAATAATAGTTTGAAATACAGAGAAGTTCATTGTCGACTGCCCGGATACTGCAGCTGCAAAAGCAAGCCTGCAAGCTTGGATCATCACCCCTTCATCACCATGGTTTACATTTTCCATGAAGTATTGGATATTCTGTGTTTGGGTGTTTGCATTAAGGCAGATTTCTTGAC